GATGTTTCACGTTCCTGACTTCCCTAACTTTCAGGGGTCTCCACTGAGCTTTCAGCTTCACTTTCACAGCTTCACTCATTATCCTCTCAGGGCCACGCTTGGCCTCCCAGGCCCTCTTCTGAAATCTGAGTGGAAGCCTCCCTGACCCCTCTTGCATTCTGCATGCATATAAAACCAGCACCTTGTGGATGACCCCAAGGTTTGCAGCCAGCTTGAGCAGTATCCAGGCCCGCTTGAATCATGGCTGCAGCAGCCTGAGTGCCTGCATGGCTGAGCACTGTGAAACAAATCCCAGAGTGCCTTGGGGCTCTCCTCTCAAAGCAAAGGGAAAAAAGTATTTCACTTTTGGATCCTTGAGTGTGCAATGGGTGGAGTCTCACTGGTTACCAAGATGTCTCCAAGACATTCTTCCTGTTGTCCTGATGCAAAGTAGTTGGCGTCTTCCTAATGCTAATCTTTTCAGCCCCTGTCCTCTGAGCCTACTCTGGCCAGGGCTGCTCTGGGCTCTCTCTGCTGTTCGCAGGTGCCCTGAAGGTGAAGCCATGGACTGTGTGCTGGGTCAGGAGGTCCCTGTGGCTCCCAGACACCAAAGCCACCAGGAGGGGAATAACCATGGATGAGGAGCCCCAGGCTCCACATGGAGACTGGCTGCCCTCCAGATGCCAGCCTGGGGAGGAAGCTGGGCTGCACTGCTCATGTGGCCTGCAGTGCTCCAGCAGCCTAGTGTCCCAGACTGCTGCCCAGGCAACCTACTGGACACTACTGGCTCATAAGGTGGGAGAGGAGAATGCATACTTTTTAGGTCACGAGTGCAGGAGATTTGCTCTGCGGTGCTGGTGGAGAATGAACGTTGTGCTTCATTGGACACAAGGCCCCCAGTCTTTCCCATTGCCCAGCACAGCCTCCCACTCCTCCTCCCAGCTGCTTCCTAGTGCCCCTCGTCCCTGGCCTTGCCTGACTCACCCTCCACCTGTACCACCTGGCAGTGGAGGCCACAGACTATCGCTCTCTGAACCCTTGCCAGCTGCCCTGTCCTGCCTGCTGAGTACCCACCCCACCTCTAGGCTCCACCAAGGCACCCTAAGGAGAACCCTTTCCTCTGGGAGCCTGGCACTTGGTCAACCAGAAATCAGCAACAGATGAGGGACCCGCACCACCCCACGGCTAGTGCATGGGCAGGGGTTTGTGGGATGGGGACTCATCTTGGGGAGGAGGTGGCTCCAAGGAGCTGGCATCCCAGGTGCCTGGTTCCGGGGTGTTCTGGCAGTCTCTGGGTGGTCTTAGTTGGGTAGGGGCCAGAAGAGGGAAGCAGTGGTCACTAGATGAGGTCTTGGTGGCTTCCAGCTGCCTCTGTGGCCAGAGTCCTGTGGAGGTGGAATCCTGGCACATTCAGTCTCTTCTGCTGGGGTGGACAGGAGAATGCAGAGGTGAACAGACCTAGCTCAGTGACTTCACTGTGACCCATCTGCAGAGGGGCTGGTGACCTTCCTGGAAGCGGCAAGTGGGTTAGACTCACCTCTAACCAAGGAGCAGCTGGGACCCATGACAGCAGTGGGGCCACTGAGGCAGGGCTGGACTCTCCTCTAACAGGACAGGGTATCAAACCAAATCAGGACCAAGAATGTTTCCCATTTACGGTAGCCCCTTGGTGACCTGTGGGCATCTGGTTTTCTCAGGGTGGAAACCTGAGAGGTCTCATGCTCAACACCAGTGCCCCCGGACCTTGGGCTGAGCCAAGCTGCGTCCCTCTGGAGCACACTTCAGCAGTGACACCTCCTGATGATGAGCCAGCTTCTGGTGCTCATTGCCCATGGAGGGGGCTGCAATGCAAAATGGCATCAGAGACCGGGAGATCTTTCCCTGGAACCTGTGATATTCTTGGCAAGATTCCTTGTCTTGCTTTTACTGAGCACATTGAGGGTCAGAATCCAGGAGACACAGAGGAAGTGGGAGATAAAATAGAAGCAAACTTCCGGGAAAAGAGACCCCCATGGGGACAGCATGTTTCAAAACGAGAGGGGCTGTGGCCTTCATATATGGCATAGCTGGGCCATGGGGCACCATTTTTTTCAGTTTTGTAAAATGTACTGAACAGAAAACCAAACATTCTCACCACTGTAAGTGGGTAGTTGCAGGGCGTTGAGCACTGTCTGTGCCCTGCATTTCTTTGCCAGCCGGATCTCAGCCCCTGGAGAACAGCCTTCCCAGCCCTCCCAGCTGGGTGCCACCACCTTCATCTGGGTCTGGGGCTGGGTCTGACCCTCCCAGGACCCCACACAGATGGGTCCCATAGCGTCATTCTTCTGTGCGGCTCATTTCAGTGAGCAGAAGCCCTCGGGATCACGGGCACTGCAGCTGGGGTCGGGGTGTCCTCCCTGCTTCGAGAGACCCCACCCACCAGTGCACCTGTGGTCACCGTGACCTATCAAAGGGGTCCTTCTGGGTGTCTGGGGTGCTCTGTCTCTCAGGAGCGTCACGCCTGATTTGCCACAGACTTTTTTTTTTTGGTACTGGGGATTGAACTCAGGATCTTGCACTTTTGAGGCAGGCGGCAGAACTACTGAGCTGAATCCCCGGCCCTATCACACCTGATTTGGAGCCTGAGCCTCCAAGGGAATCCAGGTGTATGAAGAGGTTTGAAACTGGGGGAAAAAGATGTTCTTTTTCTTTTTCTTTTTTTTCCAGTTCTAGGAATTGAACTCAGGACCTTGTGCTTGCCAGGCAGGCACGACACCACTGAGCTACATTCCTGGCCCTGTTTTTCCTGTTTCTAAGCAGAAAAATAATATGCCAAGTTTGAGATTTTAAAGTGTTCAAATGAGATTCAATTTGGCTTTTACATTGTTCCATTAAGTTGTATTTAAATCAGTGTGTTTATGTATTCACACACAGGATTGCAAATGTATTTAAATGGGCTCTGCGCAGTGGAAGCTGGCTGGCTGTGGGGCATGGCACGGCTGTGGCTCTGGCTGCCTGAGAGCTGCTGAGCCCAGACTTCCTTGCCTGGCTGGGAATAAGAGGGCCTGCTCCGGGCAGATGAGGCCTCAGAAGATGGGGGCTGTGTGCCCAAGGCAGGGAGGGAAGGCTGGGGACAGGAGCGGAGCCACTCAGTGGCCCTGGGGGAGGTGGGCCACCCTGCAGCATGGCTGGGAACACCTGCTTTCTCTGATGGTCCTGAGTGGGAAGCAGGAGCAGAAGTCACAGGAAATGTGGTCACTGCTGGAAGTCAGGCCCCGGGCCAAGGGTGCCAGACTGTGGCCTCAGGTCCTGCTGGTTCTTCCTCAGTCTGAACACGCCTGTCCGCTTCTTGGGACTAAATGGAGTTCCCTGGGCCTGGGGGTGTGAATGTTGTCAGATTAGGGTTGAGCTGCTGTGTCCACCCCACAAAGCAAGCCAGGTGGTAACAAGAGGGTCTTGGCAACCATCATGACAGACCCTGCAGAACCACAGGATGTCACGAGGCCATGACCTAGTGCAAGGAGCGCATCTGCCTAGGTGGTGGCCTGGCCATTGTCCACTCACCTGGGACACCGTAAGAAAGATGGTCATTTCAGGACTTCTGAGACATCTGTCCTCATTGTCACCCCTAAGAACTGCCCCTGTCTCCTCCTGCACACGTCCCTTCTCAGCCCAAGACCTGCACCACACAGAACCAGACCCAAGCAGTGCAGGTGTGGTGTCAAGAAGCCGATGCTGAGCACGTGGCCCTCTCAGATGGAGCCCGCACCCCAGCTCCTGTTTCTCTGGGACACAGAGAAGGCCGACGCACCACCCGCTGGGCCCTGTGGAGCCCTGAGGTTGAGCTCAGACCTGAAGGCGCCAGCCCTGGTGGCCTCAGCTCCAAGCGCAGAGGAGCCCAGGCTAGGCCTGCAGTAGCTCCCCAGTGAGGCTCTGCGTTCCGGCAAGGGTACTGGATCCTCCTGGCTGCCTGCACAGGGGAACTCACGCAGGATCTGTTCAAACAAACGAGCAGAGGAACCTCCCCTGCCTCGGCCTCCTTGGCTCTCCTGCCTTGGCTCACTGCAGCGAGGTTCCTGCCAGCAAGCCACCAGCAGTGACTGACACTCAGAGCTTCTTGGGTTGACAGAGGAGACGTCACTGAAGGAGGTGCTGGCCCAGCCCGGGGGCCAGTGTGGAGAGGCCGAGCAACTGCGTGTGAAAAGAGAGACTTTGGCCAAAATAAGAGTGTTGAGCTGAAAGCCCTTAGGAGCAGCCCACGCAGTCCCAGGGTGGACGCTCTGCGGGGTGCTGGGGAGACGTCACCAAAGCTGTCAGCTTCACACAGAGAATTAGAAATGGCAGTGTGGATTGGATTTGCTGAGCCAGCCGGAGCTTCAGTGGCTCCTTCTTTACCTCATTCTTCTCTTGGTGACCGAGGCTCAAGACCGTTTTCCCCAGATCGCTGATGAGAAGCTCCACCCTCTTCGGACCGCCACACCCCACACCATCGGTCTCCCAGGTGTGCAGCTGGGTATGGCCCCTTCCCATGCCCTGGGGGCTCGGCCCAGGCTCCGGTCCTGCACCTCACCTGCACTCGGCCCTGCAAAGCCCGGGACGTGTTCCTCCACGCGCCCCTGTGCACTCTCACCTTTATCAACTTCAATGATTTAGTCTTCTTGTCACGGGGAGTGACATGCTGTTTTCTATTTTCTTTTCTTTATTTTCAAAAACTTTTTATCAGTACATGTTTGCAGGACATAATGATTGCATTCATTGTGGGAAGTCGGTACAGGGACATGACACATCTCAATTCTTTTTTTCCCCTTCCCTTCCACTCTCCTTTTTTTCCCCATCATTGGTTCCATTTACAGTATTTATAAGTCCTTATAAAATTAATTATCATTATACAGATTAACAGCCAGACAAATAGGCCACAAACCATAAAGCACATGACAATTATACTAAATCAAGGTACACTTTCAAGTACATTATTCATCCTGAATTACAGTAACTTTTTTTCTCTTCTTTTCCTATTATCTGTCTTTTATATTGCACTTTATTTATGTATTGAGTTTCTTATATAAGAGAAACTTATTTTCTATTTTCTAGTTTGGGTGGTAGGGAGAAAGAGTTGATCCTGCCTGGGAATTTCCCCGACGACGTCTCTTAGTACTTGAAACAGTTTAAAGAGTGATTAGATTTTCCCTTAGAGCCTTGTAGCCTGTGGGGGAACGAAAGAGGCGGGAGGCCCCTCCTGCAGCATTTGGGAGGCAGAGTCCCTCCTCCGCAGGCCCAGGCTGCAGTGTTGCTGGGAGGCTGCGTCCGGCGGGACACTCGGCAGCATGATGGTCACTTCTCCGGTAGACATGGAGTGCCGGTGAGGGTGCAGCCTGGCCTAGGCACAGGAGGACAGTGGGGCCCAGGGCAAGGCCAGGGGAGCAACCAGCTGCACTGCAGAACCCCAGAACGGCAGCTGCTCTTGTTTAATGAGGGGCATGGTCCTTCCCTGTGAGAAAGAATTGTTTAAAAGCCATTTTCCCTTCTGCATTAGAAAGCAGTGAGCTCTCAAGGCAGGAAAGGACAGAGTGACCCTTAAATGTGTCTTGCTGAGTGATGGAAGCCAGTCTGAAGGGCTGCGGGCAGTGACCAGCTCCGAGACAAAGCCTTTCCGCACAGCGGGGTGGGCAGGGGAGCGAGGCGTGGAGAAGGTGGACATGCACACCTCTGCAGCCGTCCATGCCATGGACAACACAGCGTGAGCCTGGTGTGGATCAGCAACTTGGGGCAGTGCTGGGTTCACAGCTGTCACCCAGTCACCCTTGGGTGACCGTGACGGGGCAGAACCTGACACTTGATTTTCTGCACAATTTCTCTGTCAACCTGAAGCTGCATAGAAACTGGGCCCAGGGATTTAGCTCAGTGGTTCTGCGCCTACCTCACAAGCTCACGGTCTTGAGTTCAATCTCCGGTACAAAAAAAAGAAAAGAAAATATAGTTCATCGATTCTGTGAGAGGAAGGGGGCCTGGGAGGCTGGCGGGACACTGGATCTGCTACTCGGCCTGGGTCCCACAGGCCTGGGCGTGATGGCCCGGGCAGCCTGCATGTGGACACGGACGCTGCTGCTGCTGCTCTGGGCGGCACTCGGGCCAGAGGCCTGGAACAAGGTGAGTGCCAGCTGTGCCCACCCTGCTGGGGGGGGTTCACGGGGTGTGACCTGGCCATTTGCTCTGCCATGGTGGACGTACCTGGTACCTGCTCCCACGGCTTCCTCAAGCCCACTCGTCCCCATTGCCCAGGGGCTGCAGGACCAGGCAAAAGGTTCCTTTCCTTGATGGCTTCCCACACCTGCGTCTTGCTGACCCAGTGCCTCAGGCCTCCTTCCTCTCTGTCCCTTCCCCGCCTGCCCTGGCCGCAGTCTCTCCAGTAAAGCCCAGCTTCAGCCCCAGTCAATGGGATCTTTTTTCCCCACAGTGATCTCTGCTCCAGCTCCTAGTTAGCTGTGTGACCCTGGACTAGTTATGCAGCCTCTCTTAGCCTCAGTTGCTTCCCCTGTAATGTGCCAGGTGCAGGGGTGCAGAGCGAGGTGCTGCCAGCTCCAGCAGCAGCCCTTCCTGTCCATGTTCCTTGCCCCATACTCCCTCCCTCCAGCCTCTGCCTCTATTCCCCTCTGTGCCTGGTTCGAGCCACTGCTCTGGCCCCTCCACCTTCTCTGTTCCCAGCCTTCATGCTGGGTTCTGAGCTGGGCTCCGTGGCTGGGCGGGGGAGGTGGCAGTGCTGCTTTGGCGACCCTGTGTTCCAGGGGATGGGGGAGCCCTGCGAGGAGCACCAGGAGTGCCGGAGTGGCTGCTGTGTTCCCAACAGCTTGAACCCCCAGCGGTTCTGCACTGCTCAGACCTTCTTCCTACACTGCTCACCGTGGCACAAGGTGTGTGGCCCATGCGGTGCGGTGGGCGCATGTGTGGGATGGGGTACCTGTGAGGACCTGAGCTCCTGTCCCCACAGGCCAATGGCTACCAGTGCCTCTTCCACTGGGAGTGTCAGAGCAACTGCTGCATCCAGATTGGGCATGGCTCAATGAGGGCCTGCACAGCCAAGACTATCTTCCTGCAGTGTGTGCCCTGGCGAAAGGTTGGCAGCACCCTGGCCTTGTCCCTGAGGGGTGGCCCTGGCCCTGTCCCCAGCAGTGACCCCAGCCCTGTCCCCAGCTCAAAGGAGACCTCTGCAGGAGCCACCAAGAGTGCCTGAGCCAGTGCTGCATCCAACAGGTGGACTCCGGGCCCCGTCGCTGCATCCCCTGCAGCAGGGTCTTGGCCCAGTGCGTACCCCTGTGAGTCCCTTGCGGGTAGCAGGCAGGAGTGACAAGCAGGTGATGTTCAAACCAGGAGAGGCAAGGCTGCAGGGCCAAAGCCGCCATGTGTGCTGAGTGTCAGTGTCCACACATGACATGGGGACCCATGGGCCCCAGAGTAGTGGGCACTGAGGGGGGAAGAGTGAAGCTTCCCAGCCAGGCACTGTGGGTCGAGATGGCCATGGAGGGCAATGTGGGGTCCCTTGGGGACCAGGGACAGAGCGTGAGGTGGGAAGGCCAAGGCAGGGTGTGGGTGAGGGCCAGGAGAACCTGATACACGCCTATGAGGATGTCTGTCTCTGTCTCCGTGGGCCGCTGGCTGCGTGTCTGTGAGCAGGATGCCACCACATCGCCAGGGAGGGAGCATCTCCCACTCCCCTCCCCAGGCCTTCAGGTCCCAGAACCAGCCAAGCTGTGTGGGACTCACGGTGAAGTCGCCTTCCAGATTCATGGGAGGGCGGTGGGCTGGGCCCGTTGGCTCCTCTCTGGGCTCTAGGACCTCACTGGGACTTTTCCAACCATCTGCTCAGGACAACCTTGAGGTGGCCAGGAGAGCCACATCCCACTGCTGTGGCACCTGTTCCCTCTGCTCCATCCAGCTCTAATTCTTGGCATTTCCTTCAGGGAGTGAGCCTGACCAGACTTGGACCCTGTTGTGCTTGCCATGGGCCTGGCCAGGAAGAAGCTGTGCCAGTGGCCATGCTGCTCCCTTTCTGGCCCTCGGGATCAGAGACGCTGTCCTTTGTTCCAGTGACATGGTGCAGGTGAGCACAGGTTGTAGATCTGAGATGCTCAGCCCAACTGTATAAATAAACACGCAGCTGGCATGGTACACAGGTGGGGTCTGCACGGGTCTGACACAGGCACCGCCGAGCCCGTCTTCATGGAGAGCCCCTCCTCTGCACCCTTCCTTGCAAGGGGGTGCATGGCCCCTCTATCACTGGAGGTGAAAACAGCCAGCCTGAGTGCCACCGAAGGTTCCAGAACACAGGCCATGTCCCGGGGGTGCTCCCCGCTCCTCCGCCATTCCCTCTGGTGGCTGAGGCTGCAGAGCCCACTTCGTCCCCTTCTGGCCCTGAGGTCTGTAAGCCATGCTGGGGTTTAGGGGATTCCCATCTTGGGCGCCAAGTCCCAAGTCACACCCAGCCCTGTGCTCCTGATGCTGCCATTGCCCACACCTGTTCCACACAGCTGCCCCGGGGGCCGCGGTTCCCAAGCCCCAGTGTCTGCCAGATCCCTGGAAAAGCCTTCATGTGGCTCCACCTGAGCTGAGGGTGCTCACTCAGGCTTCACTCCAAGAACGCCCCTGTCTCTCAGGGTCCTGTGGTGTCACCGAGGTCCCCAGCACTGCCGGCCCCTCGGGGTCACAGGTACAGATGCACAGCTGGTCAGAGCTCGTGTGACTCTGGGCACTGATCATGGCGAAGGAATCACAAGACCGTGGATTTGGAGACACAGCATGGGATACACCATTTTATGGATTTTGTCACTTCTGTGACAATTTTACCCTTACTTTTCTGACTTCATAGTCTTTGGTCACACATTTCCAAGATAACAATTTTATATTTTCTACAGGAAGAACAGAAAATCGATTTAATCTCCCCACTGATGAGTCAATTATTTTCTTTTTTCAATTTAAAACTGATGCTAACACAATATCAAAACTACTTTTCCTGGGGCCAGGGATTTAGCTCAGTGGTTCCACCGCCTTCCTCACAAGTGCAAGGTCCTGAGTTCAATCTCTGGTACCAAAAAATAAAAAGCTACCTTTCCTTTATTTATTTTTATCGGTCCATGTTTTCAGTATATAAGGACTGCACTCGTGGGCAGTTGGTGGACAGACGAGACAGAACTTCATTCTTTCTATGCCCCCCATCTATCCCCATTATTTTCTGTTGACAGAGGTCACTCAGAACTGCTACTTCACACCTAGGGAATTCTTCGCTGGTCACACCATGGGGTTTGTGCCATAAACACAGATTCTGATAAACTGACTTTAAGGCAACTCCTGTGGAGAATAGGGGTGAGCTGTTGAGGGCTGTTTTCTGTGTGTCTGAGTCTCACGTGGCTATTAGATCTATCTGTGCACCCCCACTGGGGCGACACCGGTGGCCCAACACCTCCACCTTGGTGTTGTGAGCTTGCCTGGGCCCCAGGAGCCATCTGCATGCGTGTGCATGTGTGCCTGTGCCTGTGCACGAATGACATGTGTGCATGCATGTGTCTGTGCACGTGAATGGTCATGTATGTGAGCATGGGCGCTGAATACCCCAAGGTGTGCCATCTGGGCACCAGCACAGGGAGCACCCAGCACCAGTCAGGGCCCTAAAAAGCAAAATGCTGGGTCCAAATCAGCATCAGAATTTAGAAGCCAGTGGATTTTAACCCTGGAATACAGTAAGACATTGTGAGTCTGTGTTGTCTGCAAACAGTGAGGCACTTCCCCTTTTGGGGCGCTGACCGGTGACTCACAGACAAAGTGAACAGTGACCCTGCCCGGGAGCCTGCTGTGCACGGGTGGTCATCGTCGCTGCCACCCAGATCCCTGACCGCACCTCCTGTGAGGACAGGCAGCTCTGCTACAAGGAAGCCAAAGCCTCTTCCTGGCACAAGTCGGCGAGGAGTTGCAGGTTCTGAGGAGGCTGGGCTGGAGAGGCCAGGGGCTGGGCCAGAACACTGGTGTGGTGGAAGCGGGCCCTCACGTGCTGCAACGCTCCACCGTGAGTTATGCCCCAGCCCTTTATTTTTAATTTTCAGATCGGGTCTAAATTGGTCTGGGGGCCTCGAGCTGCCTGCCATCCTCCTGCTTCCACCCGAGCCCAGGTTGCAGAGCTCCAGCCGCACATTTTGAAGAGCGCCACCAGGGGGCAGCGCAGCTCTGCACCTGCACTGCTGCTTCCGGCGCCCCGCTGTCTGAGCAGGGATTGCAGGCGGGGCATGGTGGGTGTGCAAGGCCACACTGAGGCCTGGCCAGGGACCAGGGAGAGACAGACGGCCCGACTTGGAGGGCTCTGTCAGAGCTGACCTCATTCTGCAAACTTCTGTCCACACAAGCCCAGGGCAGGGAGAACACCCATGAGGACACAGTGGATGGCATAGTGACAGCACAGTCCACTATGTTGATTCCAGGGCAGGTCTCAGCCCTGCCTGCTGGGCCCCTCAAGCTGTAGCCAGATGCAGTATGTGCCCAGGCACTCCCCTGACTTTTCTTTTTGGAGGGGAGCCTAAGCTGGATTTTATCCTGTCGTCATGCTGTGGAGTTTTTAAAGGTCCCAGTGAGATACACACAACATGGACACTGCCCCAGTGACCCTGTAAGCAGACCCTGGTCTGTGGCATCACTGTCTCCCAGCTTCTCTACACCCTGCAGTGGGGAGGTTTGTACCCCAAGTTCCTAACCTCCCCCCAGGTGAGAGAGGCCACCGCAAGCGGTCAGGTCAGGAGTGGGGGCCAAGAGCTCTCGTCTGTCCCCTGGAAACCTGGCCATCAGGCTGGGAGATGTGGGAGCTGTGGGAGCCGTTCTGCAGCCGGAATAACCAAGGTGACTCAAAGCGAGGTGCCTGCCAGGATCCTGACACTTATTTCTGTGGTGCTGGGATGGAATCCAGGGCCTTGGCAAGCTCAGAAAGTGCTCACCTCTGAGCCACACCCCAGCCCCTTTGCAGTTTTCTTGAGGCAAGATCTTCCTGAATTGCCTGGCTGACCTGGAACTTGCCATACTCCTGCCTCCGTTTCTGGAGAGCTAGGTGTGCACCATGGTGCCCAGCTTAAACACGCAGAGGTCCCAGGGTTGAGCACCCCGAGCTTGTCCTGGTCTGGGCATTGGCAGGACAGACCCATGTGGGTCACAGCTGGCGCGGTCTGACCAAAGCGCCCTCTGGGAGCAGTCTTCTCCAAGGTCGGCTTGAGTTTCCCTGCTACATGGCTTCTGCCTGAGCCAAGAGATCATAAATCAAGTTCTCAGCAAGCAGAGGGAAAGGAAGGAGGAGCAGCCCACGTCCAGGCGTCCCCACTCATACCCCAAAAGGGAGCCCTGCGAGGCTGCCCCTTGCAAGAGCTCTGTGGCCTTAACAACGTGGAGCTGGAGGGAGGCCCGGTGCCTTCATCTCTGCCAAGGAGGATGGAGGTCACAGTCAGAGCCAGAAAGCCCCACTCAGCAGCGCTGTCTCCCTCCTGCAGGGTTCGTACCTCAGCAGGGTATAGGGACCGGGGCCAGGGACATGGTGGGGAAGGGCAGGGAGGGACCTTGCTGTGTGATGTGATTCAAGGGCTCTGGTTCAAAGTGGGGAGGCTGAGAGCTGTAGAGGGAAGTTTCTTTCTAGAGTATGAAGGACTGACATCCCTGACTGTGGATGAGGAGAGGCCCAGAGGGAGAGAGACAGAACACACAAAGGTATAGTTCTGCACAGAAAGTAAGAAAACAGACAAGAGTCCTGACTGACAGAAGAGGGGAGACCAACAAGCATCAGACATCTGTAATCCCAGCACTTTGGGAGTCTGAGGCAGGAGGATCACACATTTGAGCTCAATCCAGGCAATTTCGGGACTTAGCGCGATGCTCTCTTGAAGTGAGAGAGTGGTGGCTGCAGCTGAGTGCGAAGTCCCTGCGCTCCATCCCCAGGCTGTAAAAAGAAGGCGTTAAAATAGTAAAGGGAGCTTTACGATGTGCATGTGCTCAGGAGTGCAGTTCCCTAGAGGCAGAAGACCTCCCAGCACAGGGGAAGGGCTGTGCTGTCCCTAACGCTCCAGCCGAGGCCACAGAGCCTGAGACCAGCTGGCAGCAGCCTGGAGCAGCCCTGGGCACTGGCGTCACAGGGCCTGCGAACTCAAGCCATGGTGCGCCCAGAGCCTGAGGACTTGTGGAAGCTGCGGTCGAAGCCACAGAGGAGAGAAGCAGGGGCTGCAGGAATTGTCTGAGGAGGCCGTGGAGCTGGCCGACGCCTACTCGGAGCGTGGGGAAGTGCAGGGTGGCTGAAGAGCTGCTCATCGAGGGGAAGAGTGTGCCTTCCAAGGCCAAGGGGAGTAGGCGCATGGACACATCGTTATTCAGCGACAGCTCTGTGGACAGTGCGGCCACAGGAGTCGCCGCCCCTTTCCCCTGCACCCAGGCAGCTGGGGAGACACGCTGGCTCCTGCACCATCCCTGGGAGGGCAGCCCTGGCCCTGGGGCACCCAGCGTCGGCAGCACAGCACCTCTGCGTGTGGGGCCCTGGGCTCACTGCAGGGCTGGCCTGGCTCAGCTTCTGTGGGAGGGGAAGTGCAGACCGTGCAGCTGCCATCAGACCAGGACAGACGGGCTGGGATGGAGACCAAGGGCGGAACACTAGTGTCTAGCTTCATTCCCTAAACCCTGAAGTAGGCAGAGAGGGTGAGGGGCAGAAGCCCAAGTCCTTTAACCACTTCCATTGGTGTCCACCTGCTCATCCACCTGTCCATCCCTGCACCATCCACCCCTCCACCGCCCACCATCCAGCCACACACCCGTCTGTCCAGTCTCTATCCATTGAACTCCTTTGCAGAGCCCCTGTAGCTACTTTTCCATGGAGAAAGCAGGGCTGGGTTAGTTCTCTGCCTTACCAGTCTTCTCCCCATGGCTACCGTTTCGGATGTGTCCACCACTGCCCCTGAATGTCAGAGCCCCTGTGACAGCAGTGTGGGCTGTGCTGCAGCCTCTCGCACCACTCAGCTCTCCCCTGATCCCAGCTCCTCACCCAGAGCCTTGCTGAGCTCCATCGCCCAGATTCTTCGAGGAATGGGGGACTTGTGCATGCCTGGAAGGTGCTGGGAGCTAAGTTCCATCGTGGATGTGGCCAGTACTGGCTGCAGACTGTTTCCACCATGTGCAGTGTGATGCATGTCTGCAGTGCGAGCTGGCACACTCGACACTGAAATGAAACGAAAGCCCGGCAAACAGCTTTGCTCTGGACAGTGCCGCTCCCACATCTCCATCCCAGGCATTGCTGCACCCACCAGCCCTTCTCCCAGCCCCAAGCCCAGGCAGCCACCCCAGTGATGGCACTGATGGGTCAGGGCCAAGGTTGGACAAGGTTGGCAGAGCACAGGGAGCTCCTGGCTCCCAGAGGCAGTGGCAGTGGCCCTGGCACACATGGTGACCTCTTCCTTCTCAGGGGAAGGTGCTACCCTCCCCTGTGCATGTGTCTGATGGCCAGCAGCCCCCAAACAAACATGGGACTCAGGGGATAATGGGTTCCACGCCGGAAACCTGGTGAGGAGGTGTGGCTGGAAGGTCCCAGGCCCGTGGCAGGGCGCTATCACAGCGGGAGGAGCAAGACCCCAACCAGCAATGGCAGGGAGTGGCTGCAACCTGGTGCCTACCAGGGCTGCATCCAGCCACCCTGCACTCCAGCCCCGGGGCAGGGACGCAGGCCTAGGTGCCACGCTGGACACAAGACCACATTCCATCTGCCACCAAGGCCATCTTTATCTTCACTGATTGACACGAGAACGGAACGTGGACATAACGGGTCTGTGGCGAGAAACAGGGCTGGGAATAAGTGCAGGGCACAGCACATGGCTGGGTGGCCAGAAAACCAAAGGGGACCAGTGAAGGCACACAGGCACTCATGTGGGTCTGACAGCAACCGAAAATGGGATGGCGCGCGCCCGTGATCCCAGCACTGGGGAGGCTGAGCCCAGCTTGGGCAGTTTAGAGAGACCCTGTCTCAAGATTAAAAAATGGATGGGCTGGGGATTTAGCTCAGTGGTTCCACTGCCTGCCTCGCAAGCGAAAGGTCCCAAGTTCGATCCCTGGTACCAAAAAAACCCCCAAAAAACGGAAAGAGCTGTTGATGTAGCTCAGTGGTAGTTTCCCTGGGTTCCATCCCCTAGAACCAAAAACCAAACCAAAGCAGGCCCAGGGATTTTAGTTCAGTGGTGCCATTGCCTGCCTCGGAAGTGCAAGGTCCTGAGTTCAATCCCGGGTGCAAAAAAATCAAACCAAAACAAAATAAATGGAATTGGGCAGAGGCATGGGCACGACGGAGACAGACATGTGCCAACAGCCTTTACACTGGAGAAAAATGTAACACATCACCGTTGTGAGCAGCCTTTGGACTCTTGCTAAAATTCTACTCGTCTGGCACAGAAGTTCTGAGAACACTGCACAATTAGCACCAGGTTTTTCCTTGAGGCTAGAGCCAGCCAGTCCTGAAGCCCATGTGAGCTGGCACCAGCAGAAGCCAGGAAGTCACTGTTCCCAAAGCCAGTGCCTGGGGGACCCAGGCTTCGGGGTCAGGGAGCTCACGGGGAGCCTGGTTCCAGCCAGCCAGCCTGCTTCCTCCCAAGCTTGCCTAGCTAAGGGTGGCTGCTGCAGTTAAGTGCTGAGCCGAGTGTGTGTTCAACTGACAGCTGGTTTCTGTGACTGCATTAAACACATAACCAGAGGGTTTCTGGAGACTTTTTATAAAGACTTCCCAGGTTAAGAATTTAATAATGTGTTATATTTATGTGTACAGAGTATTTACACTTTCATTTATTCAAAGAAATCCTCTTACACGTCTGCATAATAGAATAAGGCAAAGACCAAAGCTTTGTACATTACTGATTGTTATTTTAATACAGATCTGTGACTTCGGTTCCAAGGACCGAGGGAGGGCAGAGCCGGGCCTAGCGGCCTCACAGTGCATGGACGGAAAGGCCGCCCGTCTTCTCTCCATAACTTAGACGAGACCTGGGGCTGGAAAGGGGCCGAGGGCAGTAAATCCCAAACCCCGACTAAACATTATTTTTTGGTTAAACGTCTGAAGAGCACAAAATTAAGAAAAATACAAAACCATTAAAAACGCTTCTCACCTGTGGGGAAAGGGTACAAAGCGGGGTTCCCGGCGGCCCGCTCTGCAGCCCGGCGCCCGCAGCTCACTCAGTCCGCGCGGCTACCGCGCCTCCACCTCGCGCGGCTCACCGGGCACCAGCGGCGCGGCCCTGGGGCGCGCGGGGACCGCGGGCGCGGCCACCAGTGGGGGCGGCGCGTGCAGCGGGAGGCCGTGGTCGCGGCCCAGGCCTGGCCCCGCCACGTCCTCCGCGCGCTCCTCTTTCACCTTCACGGCGGCGCCCGGCGCGAGCTCGCAGCCCAGCAGGCCGCTCAGGTGCAGGCTGTCGCCCAGGGCCGCCTGGCTGCAGGGCGACGGCGGGCGCGCGGCCAGCATGGCGCCGTCTTCCTGCACCGGCGAGCGGGGGTCCTTGACGCGGGGCTCGGGAGCGCGCAGCAGCAGAGCGTGCGTCACCGGCGGCCGAGGCAGGCTTGTCTTCTCCAGGAGGTCCCTACGGGGACACCGGGTCGCCATTTGCCGGGGTCCCCGCTCGGCCTGGCCGCCGGTGCCTCGCGTGCGGGGGCCTGTGGCACCCCGGGATCGCTTTCGTGCCAGCGCCGTCCCTGAGCCCGCGGGGCAGGGGTGGCGCAGCTCTCCGTGCGTGCGGAGGGCGGCCCGGCCCAGGCCCCGGCATTCCCTCCGCTTCCACGAGGTCTGAGCGCCGCCCCCGCGCCTCGGGATGCGCGCCCCCGGAGGCTCCGCGGGGCTCCCCCATCACAGCGCTCGGTGACTGCAGCCCCGGCCCGCCGAGGCCGCGCTCCCGGCCTGGTCCTGACCCAGCCCCTCCCGCCGGCGGGCGGACCCCTGGCCCCGGCCGCACCCCCCCCGCCCCCGCGAGTTCAGGATGCGGGACGCAGGTGGCCCGGCCAGTTCCGAGTGGGGCCCACGCCCCCGGTCTGCACCTCCTCCCCAAGGCCACACAGGCCGAGGACCGGGGGTCGGAAGTGGGGATGCTGGCTCGGGCCCAGGATGCGGCCTCTCCTGTCTGCTCCGTAAGCCGCAGGGAGCGTGTTATTTATTTTATTCACGGAGCTGGGCACGCAGGCCCGGGCCGCCCCAGCGCCCTGCACCTACACCCCACGCTCCCAGGCGCCCTGGACCTCAAGCCCAAGCCATCTGCCCACTGCTCGAGCGTGGGGTCTTCCCACCTTCACCCTGCTCCAGAGGGGCTCAGGTAGACCGAGGACCCAGGAGGGTCGGACTCTGCGAGGGCGCGGGTGGGGGCGGGGCGATGGAGGGCAGGGCACCCGCGGCATCCACTCATCCACTCACCGCTCCCGCTCCTCCAGGCCGAGCTCGGGCTCCCTGGGCTCCCGCGGGTGGCTGCTCAGCGCGTCCGCGGGGCTGGGCCACGGGGGCGGCGCCCGGTGCAGCCGGCCCCACGCCTCATGCGGGCTGGGCAGGCCGTGCAGCGTGGCGCCCTCCTTGGGGGCGAAGATGCTGTCTCCTGGAGCTGGGGGGAGCACAGGTCAGCGGCCGGGCCTCCCGAACCTGCCCTGCCCAGGGACCCAGCCAGGGGGTCACTCACCCAGCGCATGGCTCCCCAGCCCTCCGAAGGCGTGGCTGGCAAGGCTGCCCAGGGCCCCAAAGGTGCCTGATCTGCTGAAGGGGTCTGTAGGGAGCAGGGGTCAGGGGTCTGCGGCCGGGCTAGGGGGCCCCCTGAGCCTGCCTTCCCATCCTTGGGACACCTACCTGTGAGGTGGGCGGCAGGCAGGAAGCTGCCATGATGGGCCGAGGGTCCGAATGGGTGGGTGGCAGGGTGGGCGGTACCTGGGGGAGGGCAGCCAGGTTGGCAGAGGCCTGGAGAGCCACTGGGTGTCCAGTCCGCAGCGTCCTGGGGAGCTCTGCCTCCCCCTTCACCCTGCTGTGGTTGAGGGTGTCCAGCAGGGTGAAGCAGAAGCTGGTGTGTGGTCTGAAGGCTGTGTGACCTTGGGCTCCAGCCACAGCCACCCTGCGCCCCAAGGGACCGGGGCGTGGTGCTGATGGCAGGGAGCCCCCAGAGGAAGCAAAGGCCGGGCGACAGTGAGCCTTGCTCGGGCTGTTTCTGAAGCCACTGCCCAAGTCTTAAACCAGAGAGCTACTTAGGGCAGTGGCCGGTTCCTGGTGAACACGTCTGGGTCTTGGGTACCGAACATACAGCCCTCTGCATGGATTCCCTGGACACGGCCCAGCACAGGAGGGTGACTTTGGCATCTGCCCTGCATCCCAATAACCCATCAGGCCTCCGGAACCAAGTGTGAAGAACAATCGTAGGACACTGGGCCGAGGGTCGCAGGCAGTGCTGCAGCCGGTCAGGGTCAGGCTGGGTGTGGGGCACATGGCACCCTAGAAGGGAGGCCCCTCAAAGTGGGTGGGGTGACTTTCAGAGCTTCTAGTCTGCACCAAGACCCCTGATGTGAAAGCCACCCCATGGGAGGCAACTAACTGGGCAGAGCAACGACCGTGCATCCAAGCACACCCCAGTGCATCCGAAAGCCTGAGCTGCAAGGCTGGCCCTTGGAACCTGGGTTCCCAGAACTCAGATTCTGGGTTCTGGGCATATCCTACCCGGGCCATAAGGGGGGCACGCTAGGCTCAGAGTCACACCTCCCACCTGCCTCTGGGCCAGACCATACTCCGTGTCACTGGCTGCTCCATGTCCTGTCATTCTGAGGATAATGGCCTGGGGGTCACCTGCCCAAGGTCTGCACCCATCTGGGAAAGGGCAAGCCTGGGGCAGAGGCCTCAGTAGCCGCATCCTGCCCTGGGTGGGGACAGGGCAGAGGAGCCCTCAGGACGCAGGGGACAGCCCCGCATGACTCTCTGGCTTTGAGGAAGGACCTTGGCCAGGTGCAGGCAGAGAGAGAAGGACCCTACCCGCCTGGCTCTTACCTGTGCTGCAGAAGAGGGGCCGGGCCAGACCCTGTGGGTAGTGGAACCCCGAGAACACGCGTGGGGCAGGGGGCCTGCTGAACAGGTCCAGCTTCGTGCCCACGTCCAGCTTGTGAGGGTCCAGCTGCAGCTGCGGAGGACAATATGTGTGCGGGGGCCCTGCCAGCCCAGTACAACTCTGCCCCCTGCCTGCCTGCCACCCAGGACCTGCACTGGCAGCTGCCCCAGCGTGGGCAACACCTCATCCAGGCTTTAGCTTTGTGAATTTGGTGAAGCACATCAGACTACGGTGCTCCACAGAGCTCAAGGTTTCCAAGGACAGAATGCTGTTTTAAAAGTTGAATTTATTAAAGTTAAACGAAATGCAGTTGCCTGTCCCTCAGACTTCCTGGGTGCCATGGTCACACAGAGCAGCCTGGCTGGGACCTGGACTAGAGTGGCCACACCTGAGCCCTGCCACTGCTGAAAGAGGCCAAAGGCCTCTCTGTTTTTTTGTTTTGTTTTGTTTTGTATCGGGGATTGAACTCAGGTCCTTGTGCTTGCGCAGCAGGCAATGAAACCACTGAGCTAAATCCCTGGACTTGTTTTCTTTTTGAGACAGGGTCCTGCTTTGCAGTTCAGGCTGGCTTGAACTCAGTGATCCTCCTGCCTTGGCCTCCTGAGTGCTGGGATCACAGGTGTGCGCCACCAGGCCTGGCCTAAGGCCCCTCCTGCCAGTTACTGTGAGAGAGGGGTGCTCTGCACTGGGGGCAGGTTGGACGGCTGGGGAGACCTCTGTGCATGTGGTCACCTGTCCTGCTGCCTATTGTGGGGTGGCCTCGGCCCAGCCCCCACTGTGTACAGCAGGCAGAGCCCAGATGCTGCAGCCACTGCCCTCTGTGGAGACTGCTCGGCCTCTGCCTGCAGCACCCCAACTCTGCTGTCTCCCGGGGACACCCACACATCTGTGTGTCACACAGGGCATGACAGCTTCTATGACCGTGGTGCTGCATGCCACGCAGGGCTGTGGGGTCCCAGGGGCTGTCCTGGCTTCCCGGGATGCTCCCCACCCCCCTGTATACGCCCATGTGAGCACACGAATGTGGGGCCCTGTGCCCGCCTCACCTTCACCTTCTGTTGGTGGTGGAGGATCTGCCAGGCGATCTGCACGTGGACTGCACACCACTTCCCCGGCTTCTGCGGCAGGACAAGGAGCTCAGAGGGCCCTGCACAGGCACCCACACCATCAGGCCCACGGGGTCTGCCCACACCTATGCCCACACCCACACTCACCCTGGCTGCCGTCCGGTACGGGTCAGTGACCTGCAGGGACAGAGCAGACGGAGGTCATGGCAGGGACAGCATCTGAACTGACCTGCCAACGGGAGGGACCGAGTGGGTGCGGAGACCTACCCCAGGGGCTTTCTGCAGGAGGTTGTGGACGGCACTGGCTCGGCCTGGGACCTGGATGGGGTTTGCAGTCTGGGGTGGGGTGGAGAGGGAGGAACGTGTGACCACCGACAGGAGGCCCCGCCTGGGTGACCACCACGCCGTCCAGGGTCTGCACCGAGGGAAGGAGCCAAGGGACAGGGCGGCCAGGCTGAGGGCGCTGCGTGGACAGCAGAGGGCACGAAGCAGCGGCCGTGGCCAGGCCCCCGATCCTCCCGCCCAGTGCCCAGGCTCTCGGTGCCTTCCCTCCTGGGCAAAGTATGGCTGCCCGCTCCACACCCAACATCCTCTGCTGTGGCGGTCGGGGCCCCAGGCCCCCATCCCTGTCTGCCCACCTGTGACAGTGCTGTTGGCTTGGGGGCTCCCCAGTGTCAGGTGCCGGGAGAGGCTGGGGTGCCTCTCCCTACAAGCAGCGGGGGGGGGGGTCACTGGGGCCCTTTGAGGTCCCAGAGTGGACACTGGTGTTCCCTCCCCAGGGATCCATCTCACCAGGTGGGCAGAGACCTGGCGACACCTGCCTGCCCAGGGGATGCCAGAGCGTCCTGGGCAGAGACGGCTTACAATCTCTTGCTGTGTAGATGGCCCATGCCAAACACCTTCTACACTGGGGCTGAAGCCCGTAAGGCACTGGACACTGCAGGAAGCTCCTCTCTGCAGGCCACTGCCCCTTGCCAGGGACGTCTGGTCGGAACCCTGTGCTCCTTCGACCCCTGCCCTGACCCTCCACACCCCCAGCCCAGCGTGGCTGATACCTTGGGCTGGAAAGCACCCTGCAGGGACCCAAAGGGGCTGGCGTGTGTAAGCAGGGCGGGCAGCCCTGGGACAGCAGAGGGTAAGGGTGGGAAGAGCTGCAAGAGAAAGAGAGGGTGCTGGTCCTCAGAGGCCCCGGTGCCCTTGCCCCAGGGGCCTGCGCCCAGGGACTCACGTTGGAATGTCGGAAGTAGGGGCTGTCCAGCTTGGCCGAGAACTTCTCAAACTGCAAGGGAAAAAGAGAGGTGAGGCTTCCTGCACACACCATGCTGGCCGGATGGGCAGTGGCTATGACCTCTTGTGCCTCCGAGGATGTGTGGCCCACAGTGGCTGTGTCCAGGCTCCTGGAGTGCCCCCTGGAGCTCCAGAGAAGGCATGAAGCCCTGGTTAAGGGAGGCCCAGGATCTGACTACCTGAGGACCTGGCCCCATGCCACAGGTGCTCCTGAGTGAACTTGGGGCCTAGCCTTGTTCAGGCCTGCACACATGGCATTCAGCCACAGCCAGATCCTGAGGGCCAGTGTGGGTGTGGCTCCTGGGGCAAGTCACACGCACTTGGACAGCCAGGAGAGCGGTCCAGGATGGAGCTCAGGCGTGACGCAGGGGACGGTCAGCAGACAGGGGCCGGCAGACAGGCCCGAGGCCAAGCTGGGACTGTCCCGATAGGCAGACAGAGGGAGATGACGCCCACTGCCCACCCAGCTGTGAAGCGTGTGTGCATCTGCGTGTGCCTGCATGTGTTTCCACCCGTGCTGGCCCCCCCAACATGCGGGCCTACGCACCAGTGGGGGTGCGGCGGGCGGCATGAACTGCGTCGGGGGGAAGGGGGCGAACGTGTGTGTGTGCTGGTGTGTGTGCTGGTGTGTGTGCTGGTGGAACTCGGCCCGGAGCAAGGCCCCCGGGCCCAGGGGGGCGCCTGGCCGCTCCGCGCTCTGCACCAGAAACCGCGTGTTCAGCTCTTGCCTGAGCAGCTCCTGATCTATGAGAGAAAAGAGAGAGAGACAGAGAGGCACGTCGGCCATGGGCTCCCTCGGGGCGAGGCAGATAGTCACCTGGCACTCTCGGCTTCGGAGGGCCAGGCTGCAGGGGCCACTTGCCCAGGGCCGGCCAGGGGGGTGGAGGGAAGAGAGGAGCCTGTGACAAGTACCAATCAGAATTCCCGAATGAGGCTGGCAATACATGATTGGCTGGCTGAGGGAGAGCAACAGGCTGGCATCTGGAGGTGAGAGAGAAGCCATGAGCCCACCGTCCGCCCCGTCCCGAGTGCCCGTCCCACAGGGACACTGGGTGATTCTACTCCACAAAGCCTCTGGACAAGGGCAAGGGAGAAATCCCTGGGACAGGGTCAAGGAGGGCAGCTGGGGGAGCAGAGGCAAGCGGGCTCCATCACCTGGACCTCGACACCCCAACCCAGTGCCACAGAAGGGGCAGGGGCAGTAGTGGCCGGGCCTCCAGGAGAGAGGGGAGGTATCTGCAGGACCACACACAACCCACAACCCGGGCTGGCCGAGCCCCGTGTCGCCTACCTGCGGGGTGTCCTGGGATCACCAGGCCGCTGGGCAGCGCTGGGCCCGGGGGCAGTGTGGGCGCGGCGAACATGGCCGCAGGGTGCTGGTGCGCCTGGGCGCTGAGCGCCAGGTGTGAGGTAGAGAAGTGAGGGCCTGGCCCCGGCTGCGACAGCGACCCGTGCTTCCCCAGGCCCAGCGGGGCGCCGCTGCTCGCGCTGCTGGTCCTGCTGGGGACACAGGGTCAGTGCCACCAGCAGAGAGGTGTCCCCACTGCCTGCCCGCCAGACGCCACCAAGATGGGCCCACAGCCCGGCACTGTCCTCCAGACAGCCCAGCAGGCGGGCGCATAACCAAGTCCCCACTCCTAGGCTGGCTCCGCCCCTGCAGACAACCGCACTCCGGGAGTGGCGACTCCGCCCCGCCCCGCCCCGCCCCAGCCACACCCAAACCTGCAGGCGCCCCACCCTGCGCACCTGAGGCCTGGCAGGTGCAGGCCCGAGGGTGCCGCCTGGCTGGGGCCCGCGAAGGTGCCCAGTGGCGCAGGCTCCTGCGTCTGCGCCGTCGGTGTGGGCAGCGGGCCGCGGGGCTGGGGGTGAGCGGCGTGGCGGAGCACCGCCTCCGTCTTCAGCCGCGGGCTGGTGCGGGCTCCGGGTGGCGCCGCGGGCAGGAAGGGCTCGGAACTGAGCTCGCGGCTGCGCTCCAGGCCCGACACCTTGGGCACCGCCCCGGACCTGGCCTCAGACCTCTGGACCTGCACGCAACCTGCGGAGGGTGGGTGCGGGCCGGGATGTCTTTGGGCCGGGAGCGCGCACCTCCTGCTCCTGCTTTCAGGTGGGCAGGCAGGCGCGGAGGGCCCGTCCCCGACCCACAGGCAGGGCCTGCGTGCTGCTGTTCTACCCAGCCCCCAACCCCTGGCCCAGCGCCCGCAGAGGGGGGCCCCAGGGCTCCACCCCAGGCCCCTCTCCCCACTCGGCTCCTCCCTCAGGTGCCACCCTCTCCTTCCAGAGCCCTGGGGGTGGGAGGCTGCTCCCCAGCCCTTACCCACTGTCCCGGGCCACCACCCGTGCCCAGGGTGACATGTCCCAAGGACACGCCGGTCCTCGCTCACCTGTATCAGCCGCGGGGGCAAAGAGCTGCTCTGAGCCCACAGACGCCTGGGGAGAGAAGAGGTTCAGGGCCAGGGCTGGGGTGAGCTAGGCCCTCAAAGCCCCTCCCCACCAACAAGTCCCAGGTGGCCCAGCGTCTGGCCAGGTGACCGCTGTGAGGCAGGAGCCCACCATGTGACAGCACGTGGCAGAGATGTTCTTGTGACATCCGAGCAACACTGTGCGAGTGCACCAGTGTCCGTGGATTGTGACCTGGGCTCCGGAGGACCCTGCAGCAGCTCTGGAGGACAAGCTCAGTGACAGTGGCCCCAGATGGCTCTTTTCCGTCTAGTTTCCTTTCTGTCAAGCAGCTGCATTGAGGCATGGGCTGCACATGTCCCTCAGAATCCACCCGGAGAGCCCCGCTCCTAAGGTGACGGTGCTGGGCCCTGGGAGGTGGGTAGGTCGAGGCCAGAGGCCTGGAGTTTGCTGTCCCAGCCCGGACGCAGCGAGCAGCAGCGCGTGCCAAACACCAGCTCTTTGGAGCCTCCGGCTTCTTCTCCCACTCCCACTCCGGACAGCAAGAACAAGCTGTTGCCAGTCCCCAGCACGCCATCATGGCAGCCCCAGCAGACCAAGGCCCAGAGACGTGGTTCCCGCACCACGGAGCCACCGCCCACGCAGACTCAACTCAGAGACTTAGGGGCCTCACAGAGCAGCACACCCATCACCACAGCAGCCACAGGGCCTCTTCATCACCCCAGAGAGACCCTGGCTGTCCAGCTTCCATCCCAGGCCCCCGGCACTGGGTCTCCGTGCATCACGTCACAGGCCTTGTGGGGACGGCTCTGGCACTGAGTTCTGCCCCGTGGCAGGGAGCCTGGATGGGGGGCATCTCACAGTACCTGTGGGTGGATGTGCACACATCTGTATACGTGTCTGCAGGTGTGCAGACACTCACGCTTACCCACGTGTGCTTATGCATTTTCATACACCCATGTTCATGTGCCTGTGTGTACACAGATAACAGGAGACCACGTGTGATACGTGCATGTGTGTGGCTGTGTACAAGACACCTAGGTACACAAAGTGACATCTGTGCGTGTACCTGTGTCTAGGCCAGCAAGCCTTAGGGACAGCGTGGAGGACACGTGCCCAGCTGGGGAAAGATGGGGCTGGGGCCTCAGAGACTCAGCCTCACCTCTCCTGAGTCTTTCACAGGAGACAAGCCAGTGACCACTCTCGGGATCAAACCGTGACAACAAAAGTACTACACGGATGGAGAGGGACAGCAAGGTCTGCCCTGCATGTGGGTGTTGGGGGCACGAGGGGCATGAGGGGCACTCCTTGCCCAATTCAGAGGAGGGCACTTCGCCCAGGAGCCGCACATAAAGGTTCATGCCGGCCATGCCGTGGGGCAGTGCCAATCCCATCCCGGCCGGGCAGGATGGCTCTCCATGCCCGAGGGAGCCCAGGGCCCTGCTCTGCCCAAGGCATGCAGGGACAGTGGCACAGCAGGGTCTCTGGCCTTTGGCATCTACCAGAGGCAGAGCAGGGTGCCCAGCTGCACCATGGGCCACCTTGGCATGGCCAGGAGGGGCTGTGGACACACGCAGCACACTGGCCTCCAGAAGCCGGGCCCCACCCATGGGTGTCACAGGCCCATCCAATGGGGCATCTCACAGTCTGGGAGCTACAGTGCAGAAGAAAGCAATGAGACATGGCTACCAGGTCTGCAGGGGAGGCGAGCAGAACAGAAAGGAGGCTCCAAAGTCCACCTGGGTCCAGGCTAGGCCTCAGCATGAGGTGGGCACAGAGGTGTGTGTGTAGGTTGTCCATTCCACGGGGTGAGAAGCAGCTTGATGCTCAGGAAAAGGTTAAGTGAGCTAGGCGATGTGGCCCTTGCCTGGAAATCCCAGCTACTTGGGAGGCTGAGGCAGGAGGACCTCAGGTTTGAGGCCCGCCTTGGCAACTCAGCCAGACCCTGTCTCAAAATAAAAAGAAGGGCTGGGATGTAGCTCAGTGGTATAGCACCTGTGGCTTCTACCCTCAGTACTATACACAGAACAGGTGAAGTGAGAGTCCCGATTCTCCCCCCACATCAACCATCAACCATCCAGACAGGGCAGACACAAAGAAATGCAGCATTGTGACCAGATGCTTTACCGCCTGCTGGGACAGGGCACACACAGCCCTAGGAGAGCTGGGACCTGCAGGACACGGAAACGGCTGCTTCCTGCTTTCTTAAGACTGCTGCGCACCGACCATGAGGCCCGTGCTCAGGGCCCCAGCACCCTCAGCACCCCCGGCACAGGCCCCTGGGTTCCAGCCTTACCTGCGGGCTCTTGTGGGCGAGGGGTCTGCCCGGCCAGGGTAGGTGGGCAGGGGCCGCAGCTCACCCTCCAGCTCTGAACTCGGGGTGTGACCTCTGTCAGGGAGGGGCTTCTGCTTCAGAGCAGCTTGGGTCCTGGCCCTTTCAGGGGTCCCAGATAGTGGCACCAAGGCCCAGCAGTCCCTGAGTCGTGTCATGCACAGGCAAGGGTGTCCACACGACACCCCAAGAAGGGAAGCTCCAGCAGCTGGAGAGCTGCCTGCCAGGATAGCTGCCCCAGGGCGTCCTGCAGCCTCGGAGGCTGACCTTCCTGTGGTCCCTGGAGGCTGTGGTCATCCCTGGGGCAGGCCTGGGTACTTGAGTGACAGCTCCTGTCTCTTAAATCCTTAGAACCGAGTCAGGGCAGCTGCGCCCACTGAGAACCTCCCAGGGCCTGGACTAAAGACTCTGGGTGGCTGTGGCCCCACCCCAGGGATCCTACACTCAGGGCTGTCATGGTTCCCACTGGGGCCCTGACTTATCCCTCCTGGCCGGGAGGCCACCCACCCCTTCCTCGGCCCAGCTGCCTCCTCCTCCGCAGCTGGGCAGCAGCCCTGGGTGGGGGTGCAGGAGGACAGCGGGGTGCTGTGGCCAGCAGCTGCATGTGCTCACGAGCCTGGCGTGTGGGGGTCTGGGTATGTGGCCGCCTCTGCCAGGAGTTCTGGGCTAACTGCCCAAGTGCCTCGGGTCCCAGCAGCACACAGCCATCGCTCCCAGCACGGAGGGGGCGACGGAGAAGCGTGCGGTCCGGGGAGCCAGCCCTGGCCAGGTGCAGGGGCTGCGGGCTCCCCGTACCTCGTCCAGGTCCCACACAGGGGATCCAAGCTCAACTTCTCAGGTGGAGCAGTGGGTGTCCAGGACCCGCACATGGCGCCCCTGACTCGAGGGAGGCCAAAGGGGTGGCCAGGAGAGGCAGGGTCCCCCACCCAGTTCTCCGAGGCCCCGCCCCCGCCCCGCCCACGGCAGAGGCCGCGCCGGACCGGTGCCCGCAGGGGTCCGGGCGGGACCTGGCCGGCTCCGAGCCACGCGGCTGGACACTGGGTCACTGTCGGGGAAGCTCCCAGGTAGCAGCCCCGTCCCGGCACAGGCACAGAGGCGCCCTCGCCCTCCCCGGCCCGCCTGGCAACTTCCCCGCCTTCACAGGCGCCGGACGGTCGCGGGCGGGGGTCCCGGCGCTTTGTCTTCGAGGCGCCGAACGCAGCCGCCCTGCGCCGGACAAAGAACTCAACTCCGCAGGTAAGCGCGGCGAGGGGCGCAGACAAAGGCGCGACCCCCACGTCTTCCGCCCCGCCACGTGCGCCCCGCCCCCCGTCCCCCGAAGCCCCGCTCCCCGCCCGGGCCCAAGCGCGCACCGACCTCGCAGGTGCGCAGGTCCCGCCGCACCCGCCGATCACCGCACCCAGCGCAGCCGGAGCCTGGCCCGGAGGCGCGCAGGTCCGCCACCCGCCTGGGAGCGCTGCGGGGAGCGGCGGCGGGCTTCGCGGGGCGGGGCTGGCTGCGTGGGCGGGGCTTGTGGGCGGGGCTCGGGCAGGCCAGACAAATCCAGCCCCGAGGCGCGGATGCACCGGCCGAGACACTCCACTCCAGGTGCAACCCGGGCGGAACTCTGAGATCCTCAGGGCGACAAGATACCGACAACTGCTAGGCCACTGGGTGGGGTGCTAAGCCCTTTCTTTCTGAGTTTCCCACCAAATACACTGTCTCTACCGAGACACCCCGCCCCCGGTCCTGCTGTTTCCTGCTCAGCATTGTGCTAGGAGCCACACAAGCAGCTGGTGTCCGGCAGAGCCACACCTGGGGCCACAGACGCGCTCCTCCTCCAGGCGGGTCTGGGCCCCTGCCAGGGAGACGGGCAGACCCGGGTGAGACTCCGCTGGCCCAGGCTGGCTGCAGGAGTGTCCTGAGGGCGAAAGCCCGAGGGCCAGGCCTGCACGGGGCACTCTGTACGGCCTGGGTGCTGACTCTGGGCCCTGAGGGGGTCCTGTCCTGGTCCCTCCTGCAGATGAGAGGCCAGGACATTGAAGGGCCTGCACCCCACCCCGGGGCGCCTGCCGGGCTGCACTCACTCTGCCCTCTTAGCAGCCTCACCCCGCAGGAACTTGGGTTCCAGCAGCCCTGCTGGGAGAGCAGAAAGCAGCAGGGACCCGGGAGCAAGACCTCAATCGGCGATGCCAGGACGTGAGACGAGGACACACCTCGTGTGGCTGCCAGGGCTTGGTGAGGTCTCCACACTGCACGGCTCCTCCTCAGGCCCCGCAGATCTGCACATGCACACCACAGACGAGGGGACAACTTTAACACACCCGAGTCTCATTTTCCACTGTTGGTCCTGAGGCCTCCTGGGCACCGTCTTGGAGGGGCTGCATGCAGGTGACAGGCCAGAGGGCCTTAGAGCATGGCCAGGAGGGGCCACCGAGCTCCACCACGTCCCCATCTTGGTCTCGGGCAAAATTAGACTTGGAAAACCATGGGGCTGTCCTTCCTTTTGTTTAGAAAGGAAAGTAGCTGTGATATGAGAGATTTAATGAGGTTGGAAATGGAGTGGGGATCAATTATCAAGAGAAATCAAGACAGCTGCTGAGAGGGCACTGATATCAGAGATCAGGCTTCCAAACCGAATATATGGAATCCATTTAGGGACTTCATGGTGTTCAGAGTCACATTTACCCACAGTGATGGCTCTGCCACCAACTGTACTGCTCTGCGCTGGCAGGGGAGGTGCCATCTGTAAGGCTCCCTGCAGGGGCTCTTCCCAGTCTGGGGGTCCTCTTGGTCATGCCATCCCAAACGCCCTGGGGCACCGTAAGCTCCACTCAGCTGCAGTTAGCAGCTGGGCACCTGTGTGCCAATACTGTACCAGGACCACAGACATCGGGGACAGCCACAGCCTGGGAGTGCAGAGGCCACACCCCTGGGACTACCTGTAAGGAGTGGCCCGTGATGGTAACAGTGACCTCTGCCATGCAAGGCCTGGAGGCCAATGCCAAGGAGGCCTGTGTACCCTGTCCACCCCTGTCCTGTGCAGCAGTGCGGTTCTGCCCAGGTCCAGAGCTGCGAACTCTGGGCTGGCAGAGGCTGGGCACTATGGGGTAGGCAGCTGCCCTGGCTTGAGGGGAGCTGTGGCCACTGTGGGGTGCAGGGCTGTCACCTAGAACTGCTGAGCAAAGAGCCGACATGGCATCGGATGCCACTTGCAGCCCACGGCCTGCCAGCTGCCCTCCCTATAACTCCTGCAGAGCAACTACAAGGAGACTCCAACGCAAGAGCAACCTGGGAGCCCGACTGCGAAGGGTGCACGGCTGAGCTCTGGGGAGAGGAGGGGCCAGACACTGGCTCAAGGGCCTTCAAGGCCACCCTAGGGCCATAGCCACAGAGTCTCCCAGCTAGTGCCGCACATGACGGACAGGAGGAAAAAGCAGGGCATCCTCTGGGCCCAGACTCATGTGCACACAAATCTAGACTGCGGCCTTGTTGGAAAAGGGTCTCTGCAGACATAACGAAGTCAAGGAGCTTGGTGTTCAGGGTTATCCAGCCGAGGGGCCTAGAATTGCCAGGGACTGGACTCCACTCCCAGCCTCAGAGGGGCACAGCTTGGAGCACCCAGGCAACTTCAGCGCTCAGAGTGCCTGGTGCTTTGTCACAGCAGCCAGAGGACACTGAGACACGGATAGCTGCATTGTGTTGTTGGGGAAGCTGTGACTCATCACAGGCCACAGCCACGCTCCTGCCCCTGTGCCTGTTAATGTGCAGAGCTGAGAACCAACAGAAAAGCCATCCCAGCCACCAGCTGTGTAAGGGGCAGCCCTCCTGTTTCTTTCCCGGTGAGGAAACAGGCTGGGGAACTCTGGCAGCCCAAGGTTGCCGCCCCCCCCCCGCCCCCATCGGCGGGGGTGTGTCTGGGCTGTCTCGGCCTCAGATCCAGGTGCTCAGAGCACAAAAAAGGTCAGGCTTAAATATGCTCACTGGGGCACACAGCACCTGCTGTCCTGGTACCAGCCCTGCAGCTCCGTGCATCCAGTGTGAGCCCAGCGAGGGCCTGGCTGCCTCCTGGGCAGTGGTGAGGCTGCCCTGCTGTCCCGAGCAAACGCGTGCATGGGGCACCCCACAGCCTGGGTCCTCTCCTTTCCCACTGCCCCCTCCCAGGGCAGCCAAGGTGACACCCTGGAGCCCGGCTGTGGGAGCACTGAGGCTGAGCCCTTCCTCTAGACTTCAGGGCTCCCCGCCCTCCCTCACCCCTCCTTTGACATAGGCAATGGCAATGTGTAGCTCGGGCGCGATGCCACACACTGCTCCCAGGGCTCCCCAGGGGAGGCTGGAGCTTCCCAGTCAGGGAGGAGGCTGGGGTGGTGTGCACCGGGGAGAGCACTTCCCGTCCCGTCCCGTTCCGTCCGTCCCAGTGTGGTCTCTCCTTGCAGGAGGCCTGCTGCTCCTCTGAAGACCCTGCAGCTCACCCTACAGACCTCCACCAGGCCAGAGAGGCTGCCAAGGTCAGCGGGTGGTGGGGCGACAGGCCTCTCCGGGAGGGGAGGGGGTACGTGGTGGGGCGCCAGGCTCGGCACCTGTTTACTTGGCTACCATGCCATACAGGGGGGGAGAGCTCCCTCGAGGGGCCTGCACTTGGGTTCTGTGTGCTATTGGGTGGGATGATTCAGTTCTCTGGGGCTCGGCTACAGCAAGTACTCAGTGAACGCTGGCTCTTACTATTAGCCATATCTGGAGCATGGGGCCAGGGCCCCTCCCAGGACACCCCTCACTTTGAGGAGGCTCCCAGGGTCTCTGTCCTGGAGGACATTGCTACTCGAACCCCACCTGGCCTTTCTCATCCCTGCCCACCAGGGCCACGCTGCTGTGCCAGCTGGGTGCCATCAGGGGGCATCTGCTGGGCTCCAGACCCCAAGCCAGTGCCCAGGACACTGCACATCCACCCTGACCTCCCACTCTATGGTCCCCCCCTCTCCTCCCTGCCTGGAGATAAGCAGTGGCAGGAGCCACCCTGGGGGCATCTGGGCCTGAGCCAATGGCCAGGACAGGCAGCAGAGGAGGGCAGTGGCTCAGCCCTGGTACCCCTGTGAGGTCCCTGTGATGCTGTCCCCATGTGGTCACCCCCATGAGTCTGTCCCTGTGCATTGTCCCCTGGGGATAGCGGTCTGGCCCCTGCTCACCAGGACCTTGTCTCTCTCTCTTCAGGGAAGGACGGGGGCCTCCTAAGACCCTAGGAAGATGCTCAAGGCAACGTCACACACAGGAAAACCTTGCAAGCAGCAGGAATGGAAGTGGCTGGGCCACTCCTTGTGGGGTGGCTGAGGAGAGCAGGTACCCGACACCCCGCTGGCAGGGTGGGGTTCTCCAGGACCCTGCAGTGGGCCAGCTGCCCAGGGGATGAGGTCACATGACAGGAGACCCGGCCCTGGCTGCTGCATCCACCCGTCCGATTCTCTGTCCATGGCCCGTGCAGTTCTCAGCAACAGGAGACTCGGAGGTGGCCCCAGGAGCCCTGCTTCAGAGCGAAGAAGATGGGGTCCACAGCCCCCCAGAGCAGGGCACCAGGGAGGGTTGGGGCTGCTGCAGGCCCTCGGCTGGCTGGCACCCCCAGTGGCCGGGTATGCACACCCACTCTGGTGCCCTAACCCTCCTGCCAGCTCCACAGGGTCCCCTCACACAGTGCCCGAGGCCAAGGGACCCTAGAACTGTGGAGCTGGACCTGTGCTGCTGTCCCACAGCAGGACCTTGGCAGAGTCCCGGGGCACTCTTCCAGGGCCACCCTGTCCCAGCCCTGGCTGAGCTCAGGCACCTCCTGTGAGTGTCCAGGCTGCAGGCAGATCACGCCCCAGAGGCAGCTGTGGCCACGGGCAATGGAGAGGCCACCTGGTCAGGCATCAGCAGGCAGCCAGGCCCCGGCTGCTGGGGGAGCCCCGCACCACTGCCTCCCATAATTTCCAGTGAAAAAGCAGTTAGACACCGACTGCAGCCTTGGGGAGGGCCTTTTGGTGGTGTCCTGCAGCCCGTGGTCCCCACCCGCCTGTCTGCAACCTGTGTCCCGGTGCCCATGTCCACCACAGCAGCCCAGGTGAGCTGTGCTGGCTGGGCCAGAGCTGGGCAGGCCAAGAGGAGATGCACGAGGCAGACCGGCACAGCATGTGAGCCCCGTGCCGCCCGGCTGCCTGTGCAGCATCCTCTCTGTGGCAACACCCCTAGGCCAGCTGTGGCCCGGCACGTGGAGCTTCTGCAGCTTTCATATCTCTTGCCAACCATGTTTCCAGCCGCTGCACATCACTGTTCTCCAGGCCACTTCCAGGCCACCTCATGCCAGGGTGGGGACACCAGTGGTGCAAACTATGTGTGGATTGGTGTCCCAGGGCACTGAAGGCCGGGAGACCTGGGCTGCTTAGGGTCCAGGCCGTCCCATGGCTACTAAGGACCCCTTCTCCCCATTCCCATCCTCTGCAGCCATAGGAGCTGCCCCTGGGAGGTGCCCAGAGACCATGCCTCCTCCCCGGTTTGCTCCTCAGGCAGGGCAAGGGCCTCGTACAGTTGTAGCCATGGCTGAAGTTCCTGACCACCTGGAACGCGGCACAGTAGAGGGAACCAGGCATCTGAGGAATGGGTACTGTGGCCACAACTGGTGTCACATGTGGCCAGGAAGGTGGAGGGATGGGGCACCAAACAGCCTGTGTGAGCTGGAGGCTCTCTGGAGCTTCCGGTGCTTCTCCATGCCTAGTTGCAGTCCGCACCAGTCTCTGCCTCTGTCCCCTGCCCAGCCACCATGGGTGCAGTGCCTCTGAACACACCCAGCAGCACGGAGCCCTGGCGCTCACAGCAAGGGCGAGCCCAGGCCAGCACAAATGCGGGCTGACAGGGAGGGCGAGCCTGGGCCCATAAGGCTGGCGGGCGGCTGTGCACGTCCCTCGGGGCCTCCTGAGGCCCCCTGCTCTGTGGCTGAGGACCTGGCCTTAATCCCACCTGGCCTGCTTGCTGCTCTGCTCCTTGTGCACGGCCTTGGGCTGCCCACCCCTGAACCTCCGCGGGGGTGGGGACCCCGAGGCGAGGCGTGGGAGCTGCTGTGGTCACTATCTCTCACCACTTCTGTTGCTGCCAAGCTTGGTACAGTGCGGCTCATGTGTGGGCATGGCCAGGGTGCCGTGGGCATGGCCAGGGTGCCATGTGCACCCCGGGCACCAGCCAGCAGGGGAAGGCCCCCAGAAGTGAGCCCCCAGCAGGAGCCCCTGCCCAGCCCAGCAGAGGCCTCGCCCCCATGGGCCGTGCCAGGGGTCTGACCTGCCGCAGGGTGGGGGCTGCAGTGTTGCAGTGCTGAGGCCCAGCCCACCGCCGCAGTGACTGCAGCTGGTCACTGCTGGAGAGCAAGTCGGTGGTGACCGGGTGACCTGTTCCTCCACCCATGTCACAAATCCTCAGCAGACAGGAGGAGGGTGACTCACGGGCCCCCCTGTCCTAGCTGTCTGCAGCTCCAGCCCAAGAGCCCAGTACCCGTGCTGCCTGCCAGGCTCCACTGGCCAGGGGCCTTCCATCCAGGCTTCCATGCCCACCAGCTCTGAGCCGGAAGCCTGGGTGTCCAGCCGGGATGCAAGCCGGGAGCCCACAAGGTGACGCTCCCGCAGCCCGGGGCCGGCCCACCCTGCCTGGGTCGGGGGACAGGCAGCTGGCTTACCTTGTCGTCCACCCCACTCTCGCTGTCACACTGTGGGGACAGAGAAAAGGAAGTGAGTTGGGGCCTGGAGCACGGGTGGCGCGGAGGGGGACGGGGGGGCTGCGGGGCAGCAGTGCAGGCCGCGCTCGGACAAGGGGCGCAGCTAGGCCAACTCGCCTGGGGTAGGCAGGCCCAGGGCCAGCCAGCCCTGCAGCGAGAGGGACAGAGAGGGACAGAGAGGGAGCACTGCGGCAGCCACACAGAGCACACAGCTGGGTTGGTTGCGCTTGCTGACGCACAAGGCCAGCCTGGAACAGTGCAGGTGGCCGCATACGCCAGATGAGCTGTGGCCCTGGTCTCGCAACCCCGTAGGGAGCTCTGAGCAGAAGCCCCACCGCACGGCACGAAAGGCCCTGGTCCAGCACAGTGGTCATGGCAGCCGCTGCACACCCAGACGGACGACCCGGGAGGAGGACTGGTGGGGCCACTGGCTTGTGACCTGGGCAGACGGTGCCCCCACACAGCCTGAGAGCCCACGTTCCTTCTCCTGGCCTGCAACCTGGGGACATAATGAGGCCACGGCACCCTCCCTCCTCCAGGAGGGCCCGCCCGCCCGTCCCCACTCTGCTCAGGAGAAACTGGGGCTGCTGGGGACCGGGAATTCGCTCAACGTCAACGCAAGACCATGACAGTTGAGAAAACAAATCTCAACCTTCTGTGTTTGCTAAGCTGAGCTCTGAAAGGATGCATGGCTTGAGGAACAATGCTGTTTTCCCTAAAGAGTAAAAAAACGACCCCTTCCTAGCAACAGTGACCATGATGCGTTCAGGTGGGTGACTTAGGCTGCTGGAGACAAATCTCCCAGACGCCTGGGGGGGTGATTAGCCCCAGCCCAACGTGGGCTGGGTGGGTTTTATAGGTTGTGCTCGCCTTGATTAACACGGGCAATCGAATCATACTGCCTTCCACCGGCCCTGAGCTGATGGTGGCCATGTCCTCAGCGACAAAGCTCACAGAGGGACATGAAACGTGCTTCACCAGCCATTCCCCACCACTGGAAGGAGCTCCCGCTTGGTGCCAAGTGTGGAGGTGGCTCGGCTGGCCTCTGGGTGTCTGGGACGGGCATGCAGGGCCTTCTGTGGCTGGTGGGCTTCACACCACAGCCTGACAGACCGTCTGCCCCCTGGGCCTGACCCAGCCCCAGGCTGGGCCTCTCCGGGCTGCATGGCTTGGCCAAGCCCCAACCCGGGTCCCCAGTCTTGGCTCTCCCAGTGAGAGGTGACAGGAAGTGCTGTCCTGTGTGCCCTACCTGGCAGGGCTGTGTCCACTGCAGCGGGTGTGCTGCTCTCTGAGACTGAGCACCCCCACGTAAGGTGGGCGGGACCCGGGATGGGGTGCGTGGGCAGGGAGGAAGGTCCCTCAGCTGGCTGTCAGGAGGATAAGGATCTGGCTTGGGGAGGGGCTGACGAGATGCCAGAGCTGGGTTGCAGATGGAAGGTGAGGCTGCAGAGGCGAGGGGTGCAGGAGCTGCGGGATGTTTCGGTGCCGCACGTGTGGGGAGCAACTCAGGTGCTGTGCCCGGCTCTGGGGAGGGTGCTCGTGCTGGCAGAGACCAAGGGGAGAGTGGGCCGTGGTGTGGGAGGGGGGCTGCGGAGCCCGGGACATGCCCGGGGCGGTCAGCGCGTCTGCTGCGCCTGCAGCCTGGGCCTTGTTCCCTGTACCAGCACTGGGCCCATCCCACTGGCAGGTGTGGGACTGTCCTACTGAGCAGCTGCTTGTCACTCAGGGCCACTGAACTACCTGCTGAGCCTGTTCTCGGCTCTGTCCCCAGGACCTGAGTCTGGAGACAGCAGTCCACATGGACCCATACACAGGCTGGTCACAAACTTCCCCACAGCCTGAGGCCCAAGGAGGGCGGTTTAATGTGTCCATAGTCAAGCAATGGGGGCCTCCTGCGGGCCCAGGAGGACAACCTCTCGGGTCCTGTAATTACCACACAATATGCTGCGGTCAGTGCCCATGAATTCAAGTTATTAAGTCCTGGTGAACCAAGATTTAACTCCAGTGGAGCCAGGATTGAGTGAAGTGATTAATCAGAACAAGTGGGGAACAAGCACCACATCTGTCTTTTGGGAGCTGCCTGAGTGAGGTGGCCTTCATGGACTGGGGCTGGGCTCTCCACCCTGGTGTGGGGATGGACAGTCCTCACACCCAGGCGAGGCACAGCTGGTCAGGCCCGGCACACAGGCTCTGGAGCTGCTGCGAGGCTGCTCTCCTGTCTAAGCTGTACAGCCTTGGGAAACTCCCCTGACTTTGTGCCTCAGTTTATGCTTCTGAAAAACAGGAAAAACAGTGCATTTACAGGACCTGTCGTGTAGCTTAAATGAGGGAACACACGCAAAACTTACAACAGTGCTGGGTGCACAGGACATGACGCCTGTGTGATACCACCATCATGACGTTACCGTCACCATCACCGGGACAGCTGTGCAGGAGGAAGGGAGAGCTCGGCCTCCATCCCCCGGGCCTTCCTTTGTCCTGCCAGAAACCTGGTCAGCTGCCTGCTGGCATGTGGCTGCCCATGGCCCCTGCACCCTGGGAGACATGGAGTCGGCATGGCAACTCAGCAGCCATAGAAAGCTCCTCTTTCTTCTCAGCATGAATGTCAATTACTGCTCACTGTTTCTGTTTGTACTTATGCCTGTCTCCCATGGCTCAGATAGAGGTGTGCATATGCATGACCTTGCTTACTGCTCCCAGGTACAGCAACTCAGCATCAGGCCTGTAGGGACGGTGCCTGGGCCCAGAGACCACTGTGCAGGGTCTCTGTGTAGGGCGGGGGTGCAGAGGCAGTCCTGCCACCAGCCTCTGCCTCCCCCAGCGGTTCCCCCAGCAGGCGGGGCTGCACTGCTGCCCACGGGTCTTACCTGACCCTCTCCACTGCCCAAAAGCACTGTCAATGACACTGCCACCTCAGAGGCCCCAGAGTCGTACACAACATGCGACAAAAGCACTGGAACATTGGGCACTGCAGGCCTCACATCCGTGGTGAGCATGGGAAAGGGTCAGCCCTGGCCAGGATGGGGCAGCAGGGCCATGCTGCAGGGACATTTGGTGCCTGGTGCTGAAGCGTGCACACATGGGTACCATCTGCTCCTGGGGTTTGTCCCTGGCTTGGGTCCCTGGCATGTGGCCACATGTCCTGGATGTGCTGGTAGCAAGCTGCATACGTGAGCGAGCCCTGGGCCTCTCCTCTCAGAGTGTGGCCTGGGTCCTGCCACATGCTCAAGAGGACCATGCAGGGGACACAGAGGACACAGTGACTCAGCCACTGGACCCCACGTCCTGGCCCTCCAGCTTCCAAATGGCAGGGGCGACCTTGGGAAGTGTGGGACGGGGAGTGGATGAGGCTGCCTGCCCCAGACCCTCTCCCCTCCATCCTTCCTCTGTACCACTGGCCCAATGGGGTGCGTTCCTTTAGGCTGTTCCACTGAACATGGAGCGGGTGCCAGAGTGGGGCAGCTGGCCTAGGAGGTAACATTCCCATGTGACCGTCCATCACTTGGGTCCACCCCTTACACCCCCCTGGGTCGTGTGAATTCGCCGCCCTGCTTCCCTGTCCTTGAGGGCCAGACGCTCACCAAGTGCCTTCCCATGGGGCTGATGGTGCCAGTGGTGGCCACGCTGATGCTCATGTGGAGGCCCAGGGAGGAGATGCCCTGCTGCTGTCCTGGGGAGTCCTCCCTGCTCACCCGCCAGGGCGGGAGTCTGTCCACACAGGGTCTAGGGTGTGTGTGGCCACAGGACCCAGTGGATCTCAATGTGCACATGCCGGCTGGGGTTGGGCCCTGGCACCAGGGCAGTGCAGGCTGGGGACAGTGGGCAGGGAGCATGGTGGCCTGGATGGCAGGGCTGCTGCCCACGTGGGAGGAAGCCGCAGCTGGCCTGGCTCATGGTGCTACCGGGCACTCTGGGCTCCGCAGAGTGCTTACCTGGGGGACCCCAACCATGCACATGGAGCAGGGACTCCAGCTCCCGGGGTCGGGGTGTGGGGGTTGAGGTGTGTAGTGGCAGGGAAGGGACAGTGGGGAGGCTGGAGGGAGGGAGGGCATGCAGCTGAGGGAGTGGGAGATGGCCTGGGACCAAGGGGTGTTCGGCAGGGCCCGGGGAACAGGGTGTGAGGCAGCCACCACCCAGATGGACCGGGGTGGCTCGTGGAACAGCTGTCACCAGACAGGGCCGGGAGGGGACAGGGCCAGTGGTAAGGGTGAGCCGGGCTCACTCGGGCCCTGCGTGGGGCATGCGTAAGAGTGGAGACTGATGGACGGACGGAGCCTTGCGCTGGGGGGTGGGGAGCCAGGGGCTGTGGTCCAGGGAGACGGGCACACCCGGCCTCCCCCGGGAGGGAGCAGCACCCTTGGGGCTTGAGGCTTCCGGGCCTCACCCAGGGTGGGGGCCTCATGTGGCCACTCAGGAGCACTGGCCGGGCAGACTCAGGAGGGCCCCGAGGCCCGGTGCCTCACAGTGGCGCAAGAGCCAGGTGGAGGCCATGCACCCACACAGCCCCCACCGCATGCCCACCTGGTCACTGATGGGGAAACCGAGGCACAGAGGCAGAGCTTGGGGTGGCTGCATGGGACGTCCCAGCTCCACAGTCTAGGACTCCCCCATCCCACCTGATTAATTATTCAAGATAAGTGCTTGCCTTGAAATCCCACTTTTCTTTACTCAGCTAATTTCCATTTTATGTCTGTTTAGGCTTTAAAGTAAAACAAAGTGCTAATTGCCCATTAACAAGCAATTACATTACTTCAGCCCAACCGCCTGTGGGCAACCATGGAGAGACCTCCACCCACAACCTGGGACCCAGGCTGAGGCCCCGTAATGGGAGGTGCCGTGGGGACAGCTGCTACACCCTCCTGAGCGGTGGACCCGCTCCTGGTCACAGAGCACGGCACGATGCCCTGAACCGCAGGCCGCAGGGAGCCGTCCGAGGTGTGTGAGGCCAGGACTGCTCCAGGGTGCTCTGGCTCTGGCAGACGGGCAGACAGGGACAGTCCTACCGGGACCGCCGCCGCCCTCTGGCTCCTGAACATCCTGTCCACCCCCGCTGACTCTGGCACCCAGCTGTACACAGTCGCTTTGCACTCTCTCAGACCCTGACCGCAGTAGCAAGGCGCGTCTGGACAGCGCTTGGTGGGCACCTCTTCCAGTTCCCCCAGACTCCGTGAGCCAGGACGAGGCCCGGTTGTACCGTGCAGCCCTCTGCTCCCAGGCTCTGCGTTTGCAGCCTGCTTGCTGTGTTCTGCCTTTCGGACTTGGCCCGACATGCGCACCGCACACAGCTCTTTCCTGGAACTGTCTGCCTTTCCTGCCGCCTTCCTGAGGGCAAACTCCTTTCTATTCGGTTGCTGCCATGCGACCTGGGGTCCTGACCTGCAGTGAAGGCATCACGTGTGCAGTACGGGCACAGGTTCCCGCCCCACCTGGACACTCGGTTTCCCAGCTCTGTCCCCTCCTCCACGGTGCCCTGAGGTGCCTGAGGCCCCACCCTGTGTCCAGCCACCCGCCCCAGCTGGCCCCAGTGCACGTGCAGGTGGAATTGCACAGCCGCACATCTGGATGCAGCCAGAGGCGCACATAAGCACACACGTGCCCTGCCACACACAGTCCGATATGCATGGGCTTGAGCTGTCTGCACACACACCAGACCTGGCTCCACTTGCACACGGGTCCTCGGGTCTCGGGTCACTGTCACCTG